AAGTTTTAAATCAGTAGGATAATATTTGGGGAGAATAGAGAGGGGATGCATATTGTGGCAGGCTGGAAACCTATTGCCAAAAAATGCATCCCTGTTCTAACTTTAAGAAATAAAGAGTTAAAGGTGAAATAACTTTCTCTACATAATCAGAGTAGTTCCATGAAATGCTGGTATAAGTTTTAAATCAGTAGGATAATATTTGGGGAGAATAGAGAGGGGATGCATATTGTGGCAGGCTGGAAACCTATTGCCAAAAAATGCATCCCTGTTCTAACTTGAAGAAATAAAAGGTTAAGAGTGAAATAACTTTCTCTACATAATCAGAGTAGTTCCATGAAATGCTGGTATAAGTTTTAAATCAGTAGGATAATATTTGGGGAGAATAGAGGGGGGATGCATATTTTGGCAGGCTGGAAATCCATGTTGCCAAAAAATGCATCCCTGTTCTAACTTGAAGAAATAAAAGGTTAAGAGTGAAATAACTTTTCTACGTGACCAAAATAGTTCCATGAACTGCTGGCATAAGTTTTAAATCAGTAAGACAATATTTGAGGAGAATAGAGAGGGGATGCATATTTTGGCAGGCTGGAAATCCATGTTGCCAAAAAATGCATCCCTGTTCTAACTTGAAGAAATAAAAGGTTAAGAGTGAAATAACTTTTCTACGTGACCAAAATAGTTCCATGAACTGCTGGCATAAGTTTTAAATCAGTAAGACAATATTTGAGGAGAATAGAGAGGGGATGCATATTTTGGCAGGCTGGAAAAGCAAATTGCCCAAAAATGCATCCCTGTGCTAACTTGGAGAAATAAAGAGCTGAAAGGATTTCACCTTTTCTACGTAATGACACTTGTTCTCTGAGCTAATGCTATAATTTTTATATCAACAGGATGGATGCAAATATTTTCAGGCTCATTAATTAAAATGCATTAACAGACTAGAAAGTTAAGCATGATGTAAAATGTTCTACATAATGGGCCTCTGTTTTGTAATGCTTTTAAGCTGTTATGGTATCAAAAGACAAAGCTGAGAATTTCAAACCATTTGCGGAGAACGTTTTCAACAGACACGGACTGAAAAAAAGTTCGACTCATATGTGTCAATAAAGGTGTAAAAACCGTATTTATTTCAAGTAATTTGCGAAATAAAATCAACCATTTTAGGGATTACATGGTTAAGAAACGTGATAATGTTACAAATATCTTTAAAATTTCCTCTTCGGTCATATTTCAGTCCGTTTTCTCGTCAATATGCGAGAGAACAGAGCGATGCGCGCTCCCGCGAGAGGGGATGCAATTTTGGGCAGGCATGCGTTTCTGGGCATAACACCGGCACATGGGTATGTGCCGGTATGTGTCAGACCTAGGGGAATCTGGGGCCAGTATCAAGTGGTGCACAGGCAGATGAATCCTATGCAACCAGATCTGTGGATCACAGAGGAAGCGAGTCGTAACACAGTATCTCTGGCAAGAGCTTGTTTATTCTGAGTCGCGCATGCCCAGAGCCAGGAGACTCGTTCTCCCTGTGAGACCCACAGCGGCACGAGAGCGCCCCCACTGGCAAGAAGACAAATGCACATGACAAATACGTCTATGAACAATAATAATAATAATAATTAAAAAAAAGAAAACAAGACAAGACCAATTCTGTTTGAAAAAATAGGGATGTATTTTTTTTTTACTGTTTCTCAACACAATATATGTTTATCTGCTCAGATGGATCATTTTCTTTTTCCCAAATACACGGAAGATGGAGTTCTGAGAATATGATGATGATTCTAATTCAGATTCAAACTTTCTTCTTCACAGGAACAAACATCGCAAACAACAAAGACCTGAGGATTGTGATGGTGGGGAAGACTGGGATTGGGAAGAGCGCTACTGGAAACACCATTCTGGGTCGACCGTGCTTTGAATCTAAATGCAGCGCAACTTCCATGACTGTTGACTGCTCCAAATGCTCCAGTACTGTGGATGGACAACCGGTTGCTGTCATTGATACTCCAGGTCTGTTTGACACCAGGTTTGGAGAAGATAAAACCAGAAAAGACCTGGGTCAGTGCATCTGTTACGCTGCTCCTGGACCCCACATCTTCCTGGTGGTCATTGCAATCGGCAGATTCACAGCAGAAGAAAAACAATCAGTGCAAATGATTCAAGAAATCTTTGGAGAGGCAGCAGAGAGATACAGCATGGTTCTGTTTACCCGTGGAGACGACCTCGAAGGCACCACCATTGAGGATTATTTGTCTGGATCCCCAGACCTCCAGTATCTGGTGTCCAAGTGTAACAACCAGTATCATGTCTTCAACAATAGGCTGAAAGATAAGAAACCTCAGGTCACTGAGCTGCTGGAGAAGATCAGAATGATTGTTGACAGGAATGGAGGAAGTCACTACACCAATGAGATGTTCCAAGAGGCTGAGAGGGCGATCGAAGAGAAGAAACAACGCATCCTGAAGGAGAAAGAAAAGGAAATACGTAAAGAGAAAGAAGAACTGGAGAGAAAAATACAAGAGAAATATGAGAAAAAGATTCAGGAAATGAAGGAAGAATTCAAGGGTCAACGGGAGGAGATTGAAGCCATGAGAAATCGACTAAAGGAAGAGCAGGAGAGAGAAATTCAAAAGGAAAAATCTAACCTGCAGGCCGTGTATGAATCCAGAGCCAGAGATGAAGCTGAACTCTTTAATCCTCTCTATCATCTGTCAAAAGCAGGGGAACATGTTGCCCGGGCATGTCAAATAATGTGAGGTTACATGTTGTCACTTAGCAGCTGCTACACATGATAAAGCAGAACTACTTAGCATTTCTTTCTTTATTGTCTCGATAATTGAGTTAAAGCTCCAGGTAGTGATGTAATTCAGCTGTGACCTCTGTATCTCACACAATATTTCTCCTGATGTTTAGATGCTTGATGTAAGATGCTAAAATTGTTTGCATGTGAATTTTAGCCATTACCTTTGTCAATAAACACGGTTTCATTAGAGGAAAATACTCCAAATGTCTTCATTATTATTTAATATTATCTGTTGAATCAAATTTTCAGTTTAACCAGGTAGACCAACCTTCCCTTTTTATAGTAATCCAAGCTTTAATACAATGATGTGAACAAGGTTATTATTCTTCCATTAAATTGATTTATTAATTTATATCACAGAAATTCACCACAAATGCCGCCTCAAAATTACTTTTTAAAAATATACAAGTCCTACTTTGCACCAGTAATATTAAAGTTTAGTTCAAATGGGTTAATTCTAATACAATCCACTTATTATAGTCAGATTCAGATCCTATCTACACAAAAAGTGGGTAAAATTTACTCCACAATGGATGATGGCATCAAATGGAAAATTATTAATTGAATAATATATGCTGTTTATATGTTGTTGAATCACAATCATTAAATATAATTGGTTTATTGAGTTATTCAAATAAATGTCTTAAAAATTTGTTGGATTCTTGTCGACAGAGGAAATATTTATAAATATTTAGCTGACTTGTAGTAATTAAGTCTAAACCTCCTCGTATTTTCTAGTTTCTTTTTGAAGTATGTTTTGTATTAAATACATTTGACAAATATTCCAGAAGTGAAATCATCTCTGCAGGTCTGAGGTGAAGTCAAATAACCATGCATTTCCAGTTTCCTGCATGGTTATGTGTTTGCCACGTGTCAGCAGGGACTCTGAAGTTTTATACAACATCCAGACGGGACTCTGGAATCTTTCCACGCTTCCCTCAGGCTGCTGCAGGGCGTGTTCAAAGGCTGGGAGGAGAAAGGTCCAAAACAAACCAAAAACTGTCACTGTTTTACACTATTCTGTTAGTTAACTCGTGATTCATTCTGGCATTTAAAAAAAGATCAGTTTTATGCACTCCAGCAGCTTGTAACAAAAACACAATTTATTACCATTTTTGCTTAAAATGTGTTTAAAATACCAAAGAAAACAGACTGATAAACATGATGTTTTTTTAAACTAACAACCTTGTAACTCAGTTTATTAATTTGAACAATTTGTTTTTTTTAATAAAATGTATTTAAGTACACCTAACTCAGATATATTTTATTAACGTAACTGGTAAATAAAGATAATACGTGTTCATTCACACATACTTAAAAGTCAGAAGCTGTCAGAAGTTAGCCCTTCGGAAAGATGCCGGGATTTTCCCCAGGCGGTTTGACACCAGGATTGTTGAAAATTTAACAAAATGTGATACATTACTTCCAAAATGTATTTAATATTAGGTAATTATTTTTAAGTTGTTTATTTTAAAACTTAATTATTAATGTCAAGGAGGGTTTAGAAACTAGCCCACTTATACCAGCCGTCCCTGATGCCAGGGATGTCCAAAGTGTGGCCCGGGCCATTTGCGGCCCTCTGGAGGATTTTGTTTGGCCCCTTGGATCACGATTCAAGAATGGAACAAAATGCAATTTTTGCAGAATTTAAACATTTTCTCGGATATTAAATCTTTTTATGTTTGTTTATGTCGATGCAATGTTCCTGTTTTTTTTGTTAGTTTTTTTTTTTTTTTTTTTTTTTTTTTTTAACTTTTTTTAAAAAAAAAAGGGCCCCCCAACCTTTTTTGCCAAAAAAAAAAAAAGAGGGAAAAAGTTTCAACCAAAAAAAAAAAAAG